GGTCAAACATGTCATCAGTGCAAAAATGGGAACAGGTAAGAGTGGGCGGGGCAAGCACCGGGCGGGGAGCTGACCTGAGGAGAAGTGAACTGATGATTGAAAAAACAAAAGAAAACACAGAAATAAACATAATAAACCATGAAGGGAATAAATCTAAACCTAAAATACATAAGTAACTGAAAACACAGAGCATGACAATTGTGTTTAATTTATTAGCAAGTTTTACCTAATTTAAGTTATTTACATTCAATACTTATTCCATTCTATTTTATTCTATTTATTAGAACAAGAATAATGCCAAATAAGTTCAAAGAAAAAATTTAAAAAATGATTTGATCCACATTTCAAACTGCTTAAACTAAGTATCTGAAAGTTGGAGCTTCTATTAATAGAAAAAAGAAAAAGTGGGAGCTATAGTGTTCCTACAAACTGACTGTAAATAGTACAAGTGTTTGTATTATACACATTTATGATTCTCTGGGGAAATTAACACGTCTGCTTAATGTTTGTGGTGATGAACAAACAAAGCATGATCACGTTACAGTGTGTATTATTTGAGCTTGTGTGTGTTACCTTCCTGCCGTTGTTTGTTCCTTATTAACACCATGCTGGGGGATGTTTCTTTCTTTTCAGCGGCTGAAACACACCTGAGGAGAGTTCGTTAGAAAGAAGCCGATATAAACTCAGACAGGGGCTGTCACTTGGAGGTGGTTTGTATGCTCTCAGAGAGCAATGCTGGCCTCGGTAGATTAGTGTCTGAGAAGAGAAGGGCTCAGACTTCAGATTTAAAGCAGACACACACACACAGACTTGGTTAAAGATCCTTCAAGGCAGGTCTAACAGTGGCAGGTGGGAACCACAGGTTTTGGTAATGGAACCGTCCTGATGGATTGGTTGTCTGACAGCCTGCAGAGTTTTTCTGAAAAAGAGGCCAAACGCAGCAGGGAGGGAATGAGTTTTAAATCACCTGTGTGACCCTTACTGCTTCCATTTCATTTGGCTTTTTACTCAATTTATAATAAACAGTAAGTTACTGAATATGAATCAACATGTTGATTCATCATCCTTTTAACCTCTAACATGGTCCTGTTTTTCTTTCTTTTTTTTTATCATTTTAAAACCATTTCCTGCTAATTCAACAAAGCAGAGGAGAATAATGTGCTTCGGTCCTGTCAAACTTCAACAAAATTCTTGTTACATAATTATGATGGAGTATTAGGTCCACGCTAAGAAAAAAAAAACATTATGAATGAGAATAAAGTCATAGTATTAGTAGAATGAAGTCATACAACAATAAAGTCATAATATTAGGAGATTAAAGCCATAATATTATGGAGGCCGAGATGGTGTAGAGGCAGGGCAGCCGGCTTGGGACCCAAAAGTCCCAGGTTCGATCCCCAGTCACTGCACATCACGTGGTGTCTTTGGGCAGCACACCTCATCCCCAAAATGCCTCCCGGGCGCCCTCAATAGCTGCCCACTGCACCACCTGGTGGTGGATGGGTTAAATGCAGAGACTAATTTTGCCATTGTATGGAAACATACAGTGCTGACATTGTGATGACATTATTATCATTATTATTATTATAATAAACTCGTAATATTACCAGAATAAACTTGTATTTATCAGAACTCAGACACAAAAAAGCAGTCTTACAATTGCAGTAAAATAATGAATGTTGACGTGTACAGTAAATTCCCAGCTGGTCCAATGCAGTATTGCATATGGATTCTTATGATAAATTGAAGCCGTATGGCATTGCAATTAATGGCTGCATTGACGGATTTAGTCGGAACACAGGGGCGGTCGCGGCTGAGTGGTTAGAGCAGTCGTCCTCCAATACGAGAGTTGGGGGTTCGATTCCACTTGCAGTCACATGCCGAAGTGTCCCTGGGCAAGACACTGAACCCCTAAATTCCTCCGAAATGTGTCCCATTGGTGTATGAATGAGATAAAGCACTGATTATTCTTTGTATAGATCTAGTAGAGTGCTGTATGAATGGGTAAATGAGGGCACAGATTGTGATGTAAAGAGCTTTGAGTATCTTGATCAGATAGAAAAGTGCTATATAAGTGCAGTCCATTTACCACAATGTGGATGGAGGCATTTTTCACAAAGAGTGACCCAAAAGTAATCGAGGACAATTTTATTAAGACAGTGACTCACATTGGAGGCTGTCCACAGCAGGTGCAAGCCAACTCAGGACATTTAATTAATATTTCAACTTTATTTTCATAATTTTATTACTTTTTTTCTTGTAATGTAATTTTTTTTTTCTTGGCATGGCCCTAATTCTCTGTCATATATATAGTAACTATCATGAGTTTTGTGAAGAATAATTCAATTTTTAGCACATTTAAATTACACTATTTTCTGATATTTTCATATTTGTAGTCTTAAAGAATAAAGATCCATTAGTAACTAATTATCTCCTTCAAAGTCAAGCCAGAAGCATTTGAGTGAGTGAAGTTGACTTGACAGACTTTACAGTTCAGATTGGTTTAGGTCAATTCCGGGGTGTTTGTTTTGTCAGTCTTTGCTTCTGGAAGAATTATAGTCGCAGATTAAACAACAAAGCTAGCATTTGGCATTTGCTTTTTTTCCTATGGTCTTAAACTTCATGCCTTCAAACTTCATTCCACACATCGAGACAAAGCACAGAACCAAGTCGGGTGCAAAACGTATCCATACACATAAAGATTGCAGATTGCACTTATTGTGTTTGAGTTTAACACAAAACATCTAATTTCAGGAACGTCATACTTTATCAAAAATAAACTCTTGTTTGTTTTGCTTTTTATTTTGCTTAATGTAACAGTAAGAAGAGGAAAGATTTGAAAAATGTGCCAAGTCATATTAGTTTTTTGGCTTTTCTGTTTTCATCTTGTGTAAAGTAATAATTATGCAAGTTGTTTATTTCTTGTTCGTTTTTGTTTTCTTATGAGCAACTGGATATCTAGAAAATGTGCAGTTTCTGAAGTATTTGTAGTAGTATTTTTATATGAGAAAACATTATTGTGTTTTCTCATTTAGATTTTTTAGAAGTTACAACTCGTTTTCCAAATCAGTTCACTGTTAGAATTAGGGTCATAATTTTCCACTTATGACAAATCCTTCACAACAAATGGATGGTTTATTTTTTAAAAAGAGACAAATGGGCATATGATGAGACTGACAAGCTGATTATCAGTTGAAAATTATTCAGAAGATTTGTGGTGAAGCTATTTTTTATACAGCAGCAGTATATTGTCTCTTTTGTTGTTGCTGCATAAAACTATTGAAACTGGTCTTCAGAGATAATTAAAATGAAGAATCTAAAGAATGCAATTTTTGTCTCCTTTTCGTCACGCATTGGCTTTTGCTCAAGGTTATCCACTTTTATGAACTCAATACTGTGCAGTTTCTCTCGGCTTCTTGTTCCATCTCATAGCAATAAAAAGATGATCAATACGCCCAGTTGGTTCTACATAACCTGGAGATGTTTTGAGGGATAAATAAAACATTGCAATAATTTGTTCCCTTCGGAGCACCACCACTACAGCTGCTGGGGATTCTTCTAAACTCAAGGATATTTCAGGAGAACAGATTTATGCTGACATGAGGCCTTGACACGAGTCCCCGAGTGTGATTGACTTGAGGGAAAACAATTTATCTTGAATGTTATTCAAGTTAGAGACGATGATAAATACTGCGGTCAAATCTGTATTCATGTGATTTCTGGCTGATGCTTGGCTTTATATGAAATCTAGGAGCAGCTGGACTGAACCAGTTATACTTAATAAAACTTCCATTACCATTTGAAATGCAGGAATCCCATTAGAGCCAATTATGTGATTAATGGTGACTTTGCAGGCAGGATTTGGCTGAAAATTTGAAGGATGGTCGTTAGAAAGTCATGAACATGATAGGTAACACATAAAGATTTATCACATGAACAGCACCTGAGTGAAGCAGACAGCCAACAACAAGATTTGTGCCAGGAACTATAAAGTTTGTCAGTGGATGAACCGGTGGATGGAAGAACGGGTTTCTGTCATTAATCTTAAACTAATGGGTTAGAAATATCAGTAAACAGTGAAATCAGTCATGTGAAAAATATGAATACATACCATGCTTTTGATGATCCTTTATGGTGTTGCAAACATGATGAAAACAACTAAATAAAGGATTAGGATTTAGGATTAGGATTAAGATTTTAAGGATTTAAATTACTTTTTAACAGTTTGGCTTTTGTATCATCAACTGACATGAATTAAGATTGTTTGACACAAGTATTTAACGACCAATTTATGTCCTTTGTTTGTTACATTAGGTCAAATATAAATATGTATTTAATATTTATTATCGTCTAATTCCATGAAAGGTGGGTCATTGTGTAATTGCCTGTGACTTTGTATGTGTGTATGTCTGTCTGTTAGCAAAATATCTCATGAACCACTGGACATATGTTATTAAAACTCTTAGAATATATTATATATTCATTGCTTGTACTTCTACAAAACTTAACTTTTGGAGTCCACCCAATTCACGATGGCCGCCACAGCTAGTCAAAATTAACAAACACAAACAATGCTTTAACTCACGCAGTTCAACTAATATTAATCTACAGTTTGGTGTAGTAGTAACTGAGAATCCTCCTGTGTATATACTCTGAGTGCTAACAGGCATTCTTTCAAAAAATTCTATTTACAGTTCAATAAGTGATTTTTTTTTTAAATTGTTTAGAGTTTTTTATTAATATTTTCAATCATCTCATTTAAACATTAAATCAAATTAATCAATGGTTGGAAACTAATTTTAAATTTTACTAATTGTTAAATCAAATAAAAGATGTATGAATAATATTATCAAGTTGATAAAAACTGCTCTAAAACTCAGATTTAATGTCCGCTCAAAATTTTTATTTAAGCTCTTCCCACTGACAACGGAGGCATTTAAAAATATTTTCCTACATTAGTTAGTATTTGTTTTCTAACATTTTATTTCTGTCTGTTTCAGACATTTCGATGGCCCATTGCCAGCAGGTTGGATGGAAATGAGATGCTTGAGATCCAAGTGTACAACTACAGCAAAGTTTTCTCCAACAGGTGCGAAGTTTTTTCAGAACTATATTTAAAAGATAGTTTGTTATTACTCTAACTGCATCATATATGTTGCAGAGTTATGTCTGGGGAAGACGCAATCGTTGTATTGTACATTACCTGTAAGCTCAGTGGTTTTGTTTGCTAAGCACTGGTCGACACTGGGTCCAGTTGTACACCCTAACACATGATGTGGGCAATCTAAACTCCATTTTGGAATCCCACCACTGAGAGCATCACAACAGTAGCTGAGGAGCAGGCAAAGGTCCTGGGAGAGATCTGCTGGATGTCATGGTGGCAAGCCGTAACACTGAACACCTCTTGTGGCTGATGAACATCCAAGATGCCTGCATCATTGACCTTGACTTGCTGGCTAAATGGGGAGCTGTGATAGATGTACATGGATCCACATTCTGCCTGAGGACCAGAACTATGAGGTTCAAAGCATTCAGTGGGAAGGGTCCCAGTCAAAATAATTGTTTCAGACGCCACAAAGACAACATCAAAGGCAACGAGGAAGACAAGAGCAGTGAGAGACTCCAGCATGCCCCTCAACCCCAGCAAGAGATTCAGTGCACTCCCACCCAGAGCACACATGAGCCCAGCGGCCAAAGATTGCAGCAGCTCCCACTTCACAGAAGCTGGCCCAGCTGCCATCATCAGAGACGCAGCATACTTTGGAAGAGCTGTTGGAGAGAAGTAGTGTGGAGCTAAATGCAGAGCAGCAGCAGCAGCAGCAGCAGCAGCAACTAAAGGGACTGTTGAATGAGTTTACTGATGTGTTTGCTGCAATAGCTGAAGATTGCAGGCACACTAATCTGGTTCTGCATGACATCATCACAGGAGATACGGGCCTTATCTAATAATGCCCCCACCACCTGCCACTTGCTAAACATGATGCCACACACCTAAAGGTGAAGGATATGTTTTGGGCCAGAGTCACTAAACCTTCCAACAGTCCATGGGCAGCCCCAGCAGTCCTGGTGAAAAAGAAAGATGGGTCATGGCCGTTCAGTGTGGACTACAGTGACATCCCAACTAAAGTCTCCCACCCTCTCACTCACCTGGCTGTGGAACTTTAAAGAGCCAGAGGGACAGCTAATCAGGTGGATCAAAGTGCTGCAGGACTACAACTTTGAGGTGAGGCATTGTGCTGGCCACCTACACTCCAACGCGGATCCCTTTCCAGGTGACCGTGCACAGGGAGTTGCCGACATTGTCATCAGGTTGAGGAGAGGCCATTCCACAGCATAAAGGCTGGCCACCTGCCGGAGGATGGTATTAGCATTTAGGAAGTGGAGAGCCTCTGCCCTCAACAGGTCCAACAGGTCAAGCAGCTCCAGCGTCAAGACCCAGTCCTTGGCAGGGTTCATGCTTGGTTGGAGTCTCGGCAACGACCAGCATGGACAAAGTATCAGCTCTCAACAAAGAAACCAACGCACTGCACTCCCACTGGCAGAACCTCCAGCTCTGAGATGGTCTGCTCTATTGATGGTGGGTGGCACTGAGTGGACATTGAGGGACACTGTAGTTACTCACACTCCAGCAGCTTTGAGAGCAGATACTCTGTTTGGTGCATAGAACCTGCAGAGCAGGACACTTTGGCATTTCCAAGACTCTTCATTGGCTTCGGGGCTGGTTTACTGGCCAGGGTGTCGCAGAATATGGAGATCTTTGTCCACCTGCACTGCATAGAAAGGGCCATCCTGCCACTCCCGAGCACTGCTGCAGTAATATCAGATTGCCACCCAAAGGTAGAGGGTGGGCGTAGATGTTCTGGGCCCATTTCCTGCCACAGACCGGGGGAATCGCTACATGCTTGTGACTATGGATTACTTCACAAAATGACCTGAGCACCACTACCACAGCAGAAAACGCTAGAGGATGAGATGGTCTGTCAGTTTGGTGTGCCAGATGAGCTACACAGTGACCAGAGGCAAAACTTTGACACTAAGGTGTTCAAGGAGGTGTGCCTACGAATGGGGATTAGGAAGACTTGCACAACTCCATTCCATCCATAGAGCTATGGGTTGGTAGATCACTTCAATGGGACCCTGGCCACACAGCTTGCCATTCGAATGGAGCAAAAACAGTGAGCTTGGGACCAACGCCTGCCCTTAATCCTATTTTCAAACCAGATCACTGTTTAAAAATCCACCCAGTGCACCCTGCGCTCATGTTCAGCCGGGAACTTTGGACGCCGTTGGAATTAAGCTATGGACCACTTTCCAAGACAGATGTTAGTGCTGAGCCTGGTTTGAACTATTTTTATAAGTTGAATGCACAATGTGCATGAGTTTGCTCAGCAAGTGTTGACAGTGGCAGGGGTACAGCATATAAAATGCTAAATTTGATGCATCAAATAGAAACCTTATCAATGGACACCAACGCTTTTGTATGGCTAACACATGTATTCCTTTAGCTAAATCGAGGAAGCATTAATGGTAAATATATATTTGTAGATCAGAGGTGCCAGTGGGGAAGCAAAATGGATTCATTCCTGTATTAAACCTTTTTTGTTTTTAAATTACGTATTATTTTACACTATAGAAGCATTTATTTCTGTTTACCTTTCTTTATAGGTTTAAAGATGTTTTTATCTGTGCTTTCAACCTGTGCTTGGGTACCATCACTACTCCATTTTGGTTAGGGAAACATTATATTTCTTCCCTTTTTATTGTTCTTAAAGGCCAGAAAACTGAAACAATTCACAAACACAGAGACACGGGTAATTACATTATCACCTGCCTTTCATGGCAGCAAGCGATAATAAAAAAAAAAACCTCAGAGTGCATTTCTTTTAGCAGAATCAAACAGTTTACTGTACATGCCGACTTTATGCGCCATACATTTCGCAACGAACATTGCTCGTTTTGATTGTTTCTTAGAACATCTGTGAAATGCTTACATTAGCTCTGCCAGTATGGTGTTAGACCTCACATGGTGTCTTCAGAGATGAGAGCAACCACAGAATAAATAGCTGTGCATGTGATATACATCACATTCAGTATGAAGAAATAATGCCTTGAAAATGCTAAAGAAAGAAATTGTTCAGTAGCATGAGCCAATCAGAGAAAACACATTAACAGAGTGGAAGAGGCAGCAGTGAGCTCAGGCTTCCTGCTGTGTTCAGCTATGCTCCATCACAAAGAATAAACACTTATATGAAGATATGTGAGGTCTTCACAACAGGTCTTACTGAATTTAGCTGATTGATATAAAAGACATGCTCAGTGGGGACAATGAGGAGTTAAGCTGTCACGAAATTATGTTTTTACAAGTTCATCTAGCATACGTTTAAGATTTTATCCAATTTACAGTCAGGTGGTGTAATGCCGAACAGTATTCTCAAGGTTCAGTTTGAGTTGTTGAAATCCTGAATAGTGATGGTTATATAATGTAGATAAAGGCACACTGCTGCTGCATTTTAATTTGTCTTCATTTCTTCGTTTTTATGTTTTTCCTGCTTCTCTTGTTTGTTTTTCTGTTTTCCATTTCAGGATGATATTTTGTGTCTAAAGGTTGTGGCTTGTGTCAGTAAGCATGACCATCTCCAGTGTCTGAAGCAAATCCAATCAGATCGTTTCAACCGCTCTTTGCCGTTTGTCTTCCTCCCTTCTGGCTGATTAATGTGTCTTATTTGCAGTTAATGGCCCAGATTGAGGGAAAATTACAACACCTCTAACTTTGTTACAACTTTGTACGCTTGTCGCTGTGTGTATGTAAATGGCAGTGCATGTTTGTGCCACTGTCTCTGTATTTCGTCCAGGTGACCTTATCATGCCATGTGCGATTGTAGTTGTTTTGAACGCGGGCACTGTAGATGGTTACTCATTTCTCATCCGCTCAAAGACAAATGAGAAGTAAAAGGTTTGTGGTGGGCGTGCAGACTGATGTTGTATCAGTTTTACATCAAGCCAGCACTAATCTGTCATCAGGATTTTTGTGCTTCTTCTCTGTGAAGAAGTGGACCAATAGCATATAGGAGTAACATTTCAGAGACTTGCATGTTTAATAAGACTCAAAAAGTTTAGGACAGCTGACTCACCTCACGTTCTGAAAACAGTTCTACACAAAGTTCATTCTGGTGCTGCAGAGTAAAAAATGTTGGTAATTTGTTCAGGGGCTGACAGGGTGTCAGTACTGGTCTATTCTTTGCTTTGTTTCATTTTTTTTAGTTCACTTTCAATAATTCAACAACTTACTCAAGACCCAATAAATCTGGAAAAAAAAATGGATATGAGAGAATATTACTGATTTTAGTGAAATACCTTTAAATGTATATTTATTTTGTCCCTATTATGAATTTGTGAAATGCATTAAATAACCTGACCATGAAATTAATAAAATAACCCATTTAAGACATACGTAATATAAATCAAATGCACAATGGTAGATACAAAATGACCAAAACAAGACACACAGCTGACACAAAAAGATAATACTTGTTCTTAAAGACATGCAGAATAGCTGCAGATACACGCAAAATGACTACATATCAAAAACTGCTAACAAATTTTTTTTATTTTGAATTAAATACTTTTAAAATAAATAAAATCCACTTTATAACTTCAAAACTTTAACATAATAATTAGGGAGGGAACTTAAATAAAAAAAAGGACTGGTAAATGTTGTAAAATTAAACAAATCAGATTAGAAGGTAAAAACAAAAAAACAATGGAACAGGATCAATCTTTCACTGTATCACAGAAATATGACGCATCTATCATTCAGTTTTCTCTTGTTGGCCTGGATGTTAAATAAAGGTTGAATGAATGTTTATCCAGTTGTGACAAAACAGCATCAGCACCCTCACCCGCCCCACCACCATCTTTGATAAGAAAAATAAAATGCCTGGTCCCTTGATGCAAGCTCAAACTTCACACTTGAAGTGCATCATTTTCTGTGTTAAAATAATAAAATAAAAATAACATAAAATGATGTCAAGGTAAGAGAAGTTTTAAGCAAAATGCAAAAGAAAAACAAACCCAAGGAAGAAAAAAAAC